CCTTGATTTGCCCTTTTCTAGCATGGATAAATTATACAGTGTACAAGGATCTGTGTTTAATATTTAGGTTATTTTGGAAACAATGTTACACTAGCTCACATGCAGATCATGGTACAGACCATCAATTGACATACTGTGTGGAAAAAATGATCTTGACAGGTAACAGCTCTGGTTTTTGTTCAGTGTTTAGCAGTAATGGGGAAAAAAATATTCACAAAGCATAATATTGTGAAATTTTGTTTGTCAGTACTATATTGATACAAGGACACCAAATATCAATATTTTATTAAATATATTAAAATACAACCAAGACAGCTCATACTGCCTGATGGGAGGTGAGCTTTCTGCACTAGTCTGACTTGGACTGACTGCAATCACTCAGAGAGAGACCGTCAAAAGGTTTGCAAATAATAAATAATTTGTCTAATTTATAAATGAAGACAAATTGGCGACATGTTGGCATTAGTCTGAATGAGTCCCCGTCAATGAGTACAGCTAGAGGGGACAGGCTGCCAGCTGATTCTGGCATATTCTGGTTATATTCCTTTTTTTTTTAAAAATTATTATTATTTAGAATTTACCAAAAATATACATTTTTTAATAGGGAGCCAGACTCAAAATGCCACATAACAGCTTGCTCACTTTATCCACGTTTACTGAGTATAAACAACCAAACAAGAGTTCATCCCAATTAAAGGGAAGTTGTATACTAAGAATTGTCTATCGAAACCCAGTTCCCTTATCATAAAACATACAGTATACTGTTAAGCCTAGTCCTGCCCAGTTTTCATAACTTGCATCTACCTTATTAGGTAAAAAAATCAAGATCATTAGCGCACCATCTTGAGGTCCTAGCCTCTTCATTCCAATCATTCTTGTTAAGAAATTGTAACCAGAGTTTTAGAGGCAACTAACTGGTTATATTCCTGTGGTACAGGAAGACCGCTGAGCACAAATGGAACAGTTAAATGTAAATTTCAGTCTGTGTGGACAACAACAGATGTGTGATTTTGACGATTTTTCACAGTTAACTGCTGTATTATCAGAAACAGATTGCATGTCATTTCCAACTTGACCGCATTCATGTAAAGACTAATAGACTGACTCAGTCTTATGGCAACATTTACGGCCAATTTTAATGACAATGTTGATTTACTTAACAATCTCATTTTGCTAAAATAAATAAGTGATAACTGAACTGAGAGAAATTTATTTTATTGGATAAAACATATAGTGACAGAGTTTAACTTTGCGGACATAATTTGCAATATTATTTTTATAATTGTTGCAATACTCGTTTCTAATTATTGCAAAATGTTAAAACCTGCCATATCATATGATGAGTGTTGTGATATGTCGTATCATGGGATGTCTGGCGATTCCCACCCCTGCTGTTTAAGAGGTGGTGTAGTCATCCGTTTTATTATCATAGTTGTAGATATGGATTCTGAGACTAACTGTTGGCAGCTAAACAAATTTGGAGCAAGCCTTTTACATCCCTCTCGCTTCCAACTTTATGCTCAAAATGTATTCATAGAGAGATGTTCCCGTCACACGTTTTAGTTTAAAACAGTCCTTTTACTGTAACTGACTGGAAACTCTTCCACATAGGATAATCTCACTAGATACACATGAGGTAAAATATGACAAATTACTCAAACAATGCTCAATGATGCTCAAACAATGAGGGAAATTGTTTGTGTGGTGTATTTATGAGACCGTAACAAAACCAGTTTTACAAATACTGAATTTAAAGCAGTGCTCTTTTAAACGTAACACAGTGTAATTGTGTGCTGGGCAGTTCTGGACCCTCTGACATCCGATCAACTTCTCTGATAGGCAGCACAATGAGGCCTTCAGAAGCAAAATAGTGGATGATGTTACCCAGAATGCTTTGGACCAGCGACAGAGCGAGACTTGAGATTGTTTACTTCAGCTAAAATTACAAACTGGCATCAGACAAATTTAGAGTGGGAACGCTAACACACGTGACGTGATGGTGTAGCTGTCTTCTGTAAATACATATGTAACATAACACCGACTCCACTCTCTCCAACTTTAGACAACTACACCAGCACTGGGTCAAACATTATGTAAGGCGAATCTCAGACACACACGACCTATAAATGCACAGTCAACACCAAAGTGGCATCAAGATTTCAGGTCACAGGCAGCATGTATGGACTGGTTTTTTTTTTCTTTACTCTATTTGAACACTCTAAACACTAACATATCTCTCTTTTTTAACCTGATGTACACATACTCACACTCTAATAAATACATTGAAGCATCTTGCCAATAATACTGTGATGTAGAGGATCCATAAATCAAACCACCAACCTTCTGATTAGTGGACAACCCGCTCTACCATCTCAGCGCCGCCTACATAAGGCTGCAACTATTACAAAACTGAGAAGTAATTAAGCTACAGAGTCCAAAGCCACCTCAACAGCTTCTTTTGTTTAGTTTATTGCAATGTGAAACACAAAAAGAAGCAGATACCGCGCAGGGGAACCAACCCATGTTTGCATAAAATATTAATCAATCAAAAATTATTTCCTTTCGAGCAACTAATTGATGAATCGACTTAATCCCTTGTCCCACACCACTGAGACTCTAATGCTTGAGGGGAGGGGTGGGGGGAAGGGGCCACAGCAGGCTATAATTGTGGCAGGGATTCAGACAATCAGCGGATAATTGTTAATTATGAGTCGCCTGTGAAACAGAAACGCCTCCGCGAAAGTGCCACGTTCGTCAAGTTACATATCATTACCCCGATAATTACTTCGATGCTGCGCGCTGAGCGGGGCTCGGGAGGTCCAGCCGGTGTGAAGGACGTCCCTCTGCCGGTGAACGCAGGGAGTGGTCTAACTGGACTACAACTCCGTGTTTGGCTGCTGTTTTTCAGCACCGCTTCCTAAACGGGGCACAAGCGGCCAAAAACAATGACGCGTCACTGCGAGCAACCGGTGACAAAAACAACGGCCCCGGAGTCAGCCCTCCACTCCAATCAAACAAGCCGAAACGCGAACGCTGTTCTTGTTACTCCTGACCCCGAAAAGGAGTCACAAACAATAGAGATGTTGTCCATATTATCATAAAACCAACAGTGAGTATTTATACAGTCAAACGCGTACACGCACAACGCACAGCCCAATTATTCTCCTCCATTCACTTACACCACATTCATATTTTTGTTCCCTCCAGCTCGCCTGAGCTCAATTATTCACTCCTTCACCTTCCTACACCACCAACGCCACCCGTGCACTTGTGCTATATGAGTATAAATACTATTTCATATGGACCCTCCTACACACACACACACTCATCCATTCATAACTCATCCTTTCATCTTTTCCGTCCCTCTTAAGCTCCATTTGTACCACATGAAAGGGGAAAACACACACACGCGCACACACACACACACACACACACACACTACGCCCCCTCCCCTCTCTGATCGTTTTCACCCATTCAATCCCTCCTCACTCACTAACCCACTAACTCACCCAGACTGTGGTTAACAGAGAGACACACACGCCAGAAGCCCCCCAAAACAAAACCCACTCAGTCCTTAAACTCACTATAAACACACAGGTGGATAAACAAGGGAGAGAAATCATTTATATATCATTCATATATATTTATATAGAAACGGGCACGTGAGATATTATTGCAATCCAGCTAAATGTAATTTTATAATAGTGGGTACTTTAGTGGGTACTCCAAAATGGGCAGAATCCTGCAGTAGCCTACAGTGGAGGACCTCCTCTGTGAAAAGCTGCCTAGTTGTCGGCGTGGTTTTTGTGTGTGTATGTGTGCACCATTTAGTGTGATGCGCAGGAGGACAGAAACTGGTATCCATCCAAAAATTAGTCCCCAATAACTTGGATAAGCACGTCACAAAAGTCGGGTGAGAGCACTACTCCTGTGGCTGTGAGTTTCATATAGGAATCAAAATGGCGTTGCAGGGAGGGACAGTAAACCTGATATTAAAATGAGAAATAATGTAGCAGAATTGTTGCAAAGTTCATTATCTGGGATCTATTTTTTGGCTGCTTTGCATCGGCACCCCAGACCCTCACTATCATGAGCAAAACCACACGTCCAACCTGTTATTGACTGTGGTCTGATGCGCCAGTTCCTGAACAAAAGAAAGCCATCACTGCGCCCTATACTGAAGGACTTTGGTTTCGGCTGCGGTCCCCCCTGTGCAGCTGGACTCACACCTGGTCATACAGCGACCACTCATCCGTCACCCCTGTCAGAAACGGTGTGATCAATTTTAAGACCCGCTATCAGAATCCCTAATCTTTGAAGGTGTTGGCAACTTTCCTGACAATGAAGCTCGAGTGGAGACTGCCATAGTGACAGTTATAACCAATTCTGCCTCAAAATGAGCAAACACGGGGAACCCACGAAGCGTGTCACGATCCGAATAAACCCACATTACCGTCCCGAGTGTCACCTGCAACTTGGATACCGTGACATTTAATTTATACGTGGTTTAACAGTAAATAATCTCGACCACGTCACTCAAAGTCAATGGCCGGACTGTGTTAGTTGTGAAAATGTATCCATGTATTAAAAGGAAAAACGGACTCCTGCATTGCACGAACAGCGTGCATCAGCAAGAGCATAGATGCAGTTTCGATGTGCGTTGGGTGATTTGGTCCCAGGTCCCGCGTGTTTGGGTCAATTTAATGCGAATTGTGCAAAATTGTTCACGGCACGCGTTACTTCCAGCGGGTTTTCCTGGAATAAAAGTTGTTGGCCGGCGCGGATGGAGGACAACGAGTGTGCCGGCGTGAAGCCCAATGTCTCTGCTATCAGCCCGTGATGTTCCGCTCGGTAGTATTCATCTGGAGTTTTTATATTTGTCAGGAGTTGGAGGATGAAGAAACACAAACGGGACGGCGCCAGTTCCATGGAGTCCGCTAGATCAGCTGCTGGCAGTTGGTGTTCTCAATCACGTCCGCAGATAGGCTTCATAGGCTCACTAACGCGCCTGTGGAATAAGACACTTAAACTGATCCCGGGTATTAAAGCGTGACTTTGTGTGGATGAGATTTTTTATTATTTATAAGCAGAAATAAAGTAGCGCATTGTCCGATAACCTGGACTTAGAGGAAAAGCTTCATTTCTGACTGCGCGTTTATTTCGCTCTTCTCGACGTTCCTGTGCACAGAGCAGGGTGACACTTACACCTTCCAGGACTTGCTGGTTAACTTACTCAAAACAAAGAAGAACAAAAAAGTCATCATGACGGAGACATCCACGGCTCCAGCCAAAGCCAAGAAGGCATCCAAGCCCAAGAAGCCCGCTTCTCATCCCAAGTACTCGGACATGATTAAAGCGGCTATTGTTCACGACGCGAGCCGGAGCGGAGCGTCCCGTCAGTCCATCCAGAAGTACGTGAGGAAAAACTACAAGGTGGGCGACAACGCCGATGTCCAGATTAAAATGGCCTTGAAGAGACTGGTGGCGGCTGGGACGCTGCGCCACACCAAGGGAATCGGCGCGTCCGGATCCTTCAGGCTCACCAAACCGGAGGACTCCAAAAAGTCCACCAAGGCGGTAGCGGTGACGGCCGCCAAGCCAAAGAAAGCGGCTAAGCCCGCCAAACCCAAGAAGGTGGCCAAGCCCAAGAAGGTGGCCAAGACACCGGAGAAACCCAAGAAAGCAGCTGCGAAAAAAGTGAAGAAGGTCGCGAAGAAGGCGACGCCAGTAAAAGCCAAAAAGGCACCGGCGAAGAAACCCAAGGCAGCCAAGCCCAAAGCAAAACCAGCAAAGAAAGCAGCCAAGCCCAAGGCAAAGACACCCAAAAAGGCAGCCAAGACATCAAAAAAGAAGTAAATGGACAATAGCGGAGGCAAAATCACTGTAAATACTTAAGGAAATGTTTTCGTATATGTATTATTTTTGTAAGGTGTCATGCAAACTTATACTGTTTTTACCAGTAGTTTTCTCTCCATTTGCACTATAGCCTAAAAAAAGCTGTAGAAATAATTGTGAGCATTGTTTTTTTTTTTTTAATTATTGCGTTAATAATAATAATACTGTTAATTCCCGTCTGATCCTCGGTTACTTATAGGCTAGAGTGAGATCTTGCTGATAAGGAAAACTTGTATATACAGTGGAAGTCATGAATAGTTGTTGTTAGTGCACGAGGTCATGCTGAAAATACAAATGTTTCAATGTTGAGCATTGTTGAGCCTTCACAATGTACAGACCATAGGAGGCGAGCGTCAGCAAGAATTTCCTAAAGCCTCTATAGTGGTCATTCAGACTCCATCCTGTATATATTTTTTTCCATGTTCAGACGACTCATGATGTACAAGCACCACTCTGTATTCAGTCACTTTTAAAGACTGCTTACACTGCGACCCAATAAACCTTTGTCATCTTCTAAAAAACAAAAAAGTGTTTTCAACTTATTGCGCGCATGTGCGTAATTCGCTTCGTGAAGCGGATGGATAAAATACCGTGCACAGCAAAACTCTAAAGGCTTATATGTCATTTATTTGGCTGCAAGGACAAAGAACACAGTGTCCTCAATTTGGGATGTGTGGATATTTGGGATGACATATAAACCCTCTTTTCCATAGTATTAGTTATGCGCTGGGATTTAACAAAGCCCACCTACGGAAGCCTTAATGAGATATTTTAATCGCTTAAGAGCTGATTAAATACAGTGAAACTTCAGATGACTTCAAGTTATAACGTGGCAATTTACACTATGAAGCAATAGTGTTACTTATCAAGTGCAACCTGCTCTCCGTGGGTGCAGACAATGGGTTTGATTTATAATCCGAGTGACATAAAGCACGAAGCCTGCACACAACAGAGCGGGAAATGTGCACAGGAATAAAGCACTTTAATACAATGAAAATGCAGTTGTATACAATGGCAGGGGCATTAAATAACTGGGGGTTAACGCTTTTTAGTGAAACACACAATTCAAACGCTCCTACATAGAGGACATACAGGTTAACCTGCAACAATCATTCGCACATCAAACTCAAAATCTATCATGTACAGGGGCTGCAGATCCCCGAGGAGGTGCCTTTGCAGACACACCCATCGTTTGCTGTCCTCCTCCTTACCTGAGGAGCAACTCTGCCATCTTGTGGCGTCCTGAAGGAACAAACGGACTCCTCTTCACTGCAGTCGGCACAAAGGCGGCAACAGACTGGATCCAACTGATGATGAGAGTCAGGAATCAGGATTACATGTAAATCACTCCCCACGTGCTGTTATTTGTTGTTATCTTTATATACGGATGCAAGATTGCTACACTAACCTTGTTTAAAAGCTCCCTGCTGAGCAATCAATGTGCAGCGGGCAGACCAGCCAAAGCATGCCACTGTTGAAACCGCATCAATGAGGAGTAATCTAATTTTCAGTATTTTAACTCTTTACGCATATAAATAAATAAATAAATAAATAAGGTTTTGTGATTAAGTTTACAGAGAATCCATTCCTCGTGTGACTCATATACACTCGGATGCCAGATATTAAAAACATCTGCTATCGCTTGAGCGCTAAAAACAAAAAACTTCAGTAGTCCAAAGATAAAAGTGCCAACTATTAAACATCAATAATAATTACAGTTTCACACCATCTCTTTCAACAGTCATGACGTCTCCACCCAGTCTGGTGTGGTCTTTTATTAAGCAACTAAAATCAGTAAGAAAACTATTTTAAAAGTCAAACAACGTCCGGGGAAAACAGTGGGTTCAGAGCTAAATCAGTCAACAAAACAGGTATAATAATCAAAGAGTCATAGTGGGACAACAATACAATGGTGGACTCTGTAACACAGTAAAACCATCGGAAGGGTGTTAGGGGGGAGAAAAAAAAGCACAAATCAAACAGTTAAAATCAATTAAAATTAATTTAACTACAAAGTGAAATTGACAAACCTAGCAGAAGCAAAGATAAATGACCACATTTTTCATTAAAAATGTAAAATTTTTTAGGTGTGCCTGATCTCCTTTTAGAGCAGAAAATATTTCCTACATTCTGGCAGATGCAAATGCAAAACCACCATCTTCCACATGAAAGGAAAGTTTCTTTCTGCACAAATAGAAATCTCTCCCTGCCACAGCATTCCCATTAACACTTCGCTACTGAAAAAGAAAAGAAAAACAATACTTCATCAGTCCAAACAGCATGCCTAAGAGGAAAGTAGCATGCTACAACTACTCACTGCCACTGGATTAATTTGGCAAATCGTATACGATTAATTTGTATCTCCGGTATCTCGGTCAGAAGAAAGAGCGATTCTCATGTGTGGGTTTCAGCAGCAGCCAATCAGCAAGTAGTCTTTGCCAAAATGCTTCACATGCTGCCCTTTGGTTCGTGATTCAATTTGGCATATTTTGCTTTATGCACGTATATAAAAATCTCTCATCATTAGCACTATATTGACACTGAGGGGGAAAGCAGTGGGCTTGACACTGCTTTCTTCCTGCATTTCCTCCCCTCTGATAAAGCACCTTTTTGGATATTAACAGTAGCAGTTCTTGGAGTGTCAAGCACAGAAAGGCTACCCACTACTTAGCCTGGACGAACAATGTAAGGCGGAAAAAGCTGGGCCCGGCAGCATGGGGAATAATACGATCATCAGCTTGCTGCTGGTGTGATGTGATCAACTGACTTCAAAGTGGAGAAGAGATCAGATGATGGAAATGGCAGAGATATGGAAAGTGTCCTGGAAGCCTTCAGGGTATTAAAAAAAAAAAAAGTAAGATGACATGGACTTTGTCTAGTTCAAGCTGTGGCGGTTCTGCATCTGGTCACAGAGGTTTGGTCTTGATGGATGGAGCATCAGGCTGGGGGGGGAAGCCTTTCCAGCTTGTCAGTCATTTCAGTCTAGCAACAGCTCTGTAGATAGCAAAGCCCAGAACCGCAACCACAGCCGAGCCTAAAGCCACTCTCAGCCAGAATGTTGTGTTGCTCATGTCTGAACCATTCAGGTGCCTGGAGATTGAAAGGGAAAAAAAGCAATCACAGAGGGTCAGCAATAAAAAAAAACAAAAAACAAAAAAAAAACATGAACAAGCATTAATATTACAAACATCTAGCTTATTTTACACCTTCACCTAGCAACTTTTATTCATTCAGCTTTATAGTTTCTACAGTTTTAATGAAACCTTCGCCTGAATACACCCTAGAAACTCTGTATATCAAAATGACATTTATTTTTTAATGATAATAAAATGTGGTAGATATAACTCTACACTTTATTTAGTATGTGCAGAGCCATAAATATGCAATTAGCCCCTGCCTTGACTTTCTGCTGCCTGCCTGCCATCATCTCCCTCTGCACATGCAAACCAAAGTGATTGTCAGAAACTGTGTGTATGATGTTTATGAAACTGTCATTGGTACTATACAGTTACAGGTAACTGTCAGACATCATCTAATGTCTGACAGCACTTAGGATATTTTTAATATGTGCGCAGTTTACCTAAAACAATATAGGGTTCCTATAGGTGGATATATATATCTATATAGATAGATCGATAGATAGATAGATACATTTACCTAACATATACTTCTCTATTAATGAATCTAACATGGGCTCAACCTGGGATGTTCTCCCCGTACCAAAGAACCTAAATGGTGACTGAAAACAGGAGGTGGTGACTGAGTGCAGCAGGCTGTCTAACTGAAACATACGGGTACATTGCTGCCCAGGCAACTCTTGTGTAGATGTTCTTGCTGGTGGAGTCAAGGGACAGCGTGGAGAAGGGCATCGGTGGAGGCAGTCTGTGCTTATAACAGAACTCTGCTGGGGTCATCCCGTGGAACTGCTTCACTTCAGGAAGGTCCACCTTGGAGGCGACCAGCACGCATGGGATGTTGCTTTCCATGTAATGTTGCTAAATTAAAAAAAATTAACAAGTTCAAACAGTGAAAAGCTGAGTTGAGAGAGAAGTAAATTTATATAAAAGGGTGTCCTAATGTAATTCAGATAACACATAACTTTGGGGTTGTTAACTAATTACAGCCAGTGGGTCCGAATACAAGCAAATTAAATCACAGTTTATGTTTATGTGTTGCTTAGTAACTGCAGAGTAATTGTAACTGAATCTTTCTTTAGTCAAACAAATATTAAAAAACTAATAATGATGCTGGAAGGATGTCTGTCTCAAGTCTATTTAATATGTTGGACCGTCTAACCTCTGCAATCTTCAGCTCTCCAAACTTATCTTTCTGTAATTACATATATGAACGGTAAAGACTGGGAGAGGCTGCAAAGTGAGCTGTGCTGGATTATCAGATAGGGTAACTGTGGGCAAACAGCAGCAAAATACATAGTAAAAGAAGAAGTGATCTTAAAAATTAAAAATAAATAGAAATTGACACTTTATCCTTCAAATGGTCCTGTAACTGACCTTATATATGCTGCCACAATAGTTGAAGGAATGGGGGTCACTGATGTCGTACATGAGACAAGCAACATCACAGGAGGCGTCTGACTTCTTCAAGAACTCTGTCTCCACGTCTACCTCATTAAGCTGCAGAGAGGAGGTTGCTCAGGTTATAGTCAGGGTCAGATAGAGAGAGACAGTGATTTAAAAAAATCCCCATGGGAGCTACTTACGATAAGGTACTTTTCCTGGTTACTGACTTGTACAGTATTTATGACATAAGGGCAGAAGGCACTGCTGGAATCGCCTTTATTCTATTAAAGCAAAAAAGACACTTTAGCATGATCAGAGTTAATAGTAAAGAGTAGTATTTGTCTATCACAACCTAAGAATGCAACATATGACATTCAGCTCCAGACTAGGTGATGGGGACATACCACAATGTGGCGATCCAAAAAGGCCTGGAGGAAGGCCGACTTGCCCGTCCCTCTTGGTCCAATCACTTTGCAGAGAAATACTGATCTCTGGGTCTGTCGCTTTTCTAGGTCCACCTTTTTCTCTCGTGTCACTTTACATATGAACATTTAAACAAACAAACAAATAAATCACAAAACGGGCAAAAACACTGATGTGCTATTTTTTTCCTATGAAGCTGGTTAGACTTCAACTGGCTTAGCTGTAAGAGCACCACCGATGCTCATCAAAAGAAAAACGTTAAACATTTCAGATGTTAAAATTCTGGTAAAAAAAAAAAAAAGTGTTCTTCATTTTTCAGATAATTGAAAACACAGAGGTACAAGGCAACAACTGATATTAGAAAACTCTTAGCAGAAAATGTTACTGCACAAGTTGATGGAAATAAGACTGAAACACGAGCGTTTGTTTCAATTCATTTCTGTTGTGTTTTTAAGTGGTTTTTTTGTTTTGATCACCAAAACATAAGATGCCAAAAGATCAGCCTGTAAAAACAGTGTAGAAATTACTCAAAGATAAACTGGTCAACACATGTATTTGCTACTGCCCCCATCTAATAAGCCACTC